TTAATAACGATACTTACTTTGTGAATGAACCAAACTATTCAAATGATCTATTTCATTCAAAAATGATCTTTTTTTATACATGTAGCCTTCTTTAACCTTTTTTACATTATTAATGGCTGATGAGAAGCTATCTGCTATTGTGCTATATCTTGAAAGAACATTTTGACGCTGGTGACATAAGTCAAGAGACTCTAAGGTTCAAAAAGAATATATATGTATACAAACATACATACATTTTTTATTAGCTTTATCAAATATTTTTTTAATGAATATTAGGTATTTTCACCAACTGGATTAAAAACCTATTTTAATTAAGAAAATATTTTATTAGTATATAGAAATAGTTGTTTTTAAAGATTTTTCAACATAACATAACAGTATCACAAATATCAATACACATTTTGTTAATTGTGCATTTTTTAGTTATGTTTAAAACTCAACAACTATGTTAATTTTAAATATAAAAATTTTAAAAAAAAAATCAAAATAAATTTTTTTTTGCATGTTAAGAAAATAAAGGTTAGCTTTGACTAAAAATAGTTACACAAAAAAATTATTTACAAAAAAAGGAAATACTTTAGATACTGATTTAATTAATATATTAATTAATGTATTAATTAATATATATTATTTATATCTATTTAGTAATACACATGATCAGTTTTAATAAACTAAAAATATATATTCCTATAATTTGACATCTAAATTTACCGTTTATGGTAAAAAATGGCTCTGAATGACTCTTTGTGTTTAAAGAAGACAAAATCAAGTACACTTAATGTAAAAACCAGGGTTGATAGGTTTGATGTGGGTTGATAGGTCAATGTAGCAATTCAGTCAATGTTATATCTATAGGTATAACATGCAAGGAGTGTTAGTTGATGTATGTAAACAGTAAAATAATAAAAATAAAAACATTCAGAATGTTTTTATTTAAAACATAAAATAAAAACATTCTGGATGTTTTTAAAACATTCTAGCCTTTTATTTGCACTTTTTCGGTTTTTAAAAATGATCAAGTTTAATTAGTTCCCTCAATTAAACTTATTCAATGTAAACTGTACTTATTAAACTTAATAAATATAAACTGTACTTAATTTTGTCTTTTTTTATGTCATAAAGTAGTTAAGAACCGTTTTTTACCACAAATGGTAAGTTTAAAACCTTTACTAAATAAAAATATATATATTTATAATTTTCATTTTTACCCTCATCAGGAATTAGATGACGAACTGACAAATTTTTTTGGAATTGAGCAATTTTGGAACCAGTATCTTCAATGTTGAAATACTCCCAAGGAACTGCATTCTTCATAAGACTATTTATTTCATCATTTCTCAAGTTTACTTTTGGTGAAGGATCATAAATATGCTGGTGACGATAAATTTCTCCTTTAGTGAAAATATGTGATCGCTTTGGTTGATTTCCTAAATTCTCAATACTAACTTTCTTATGTTCAGCATCTTTTTCAAAATTTGACAAATTTTGGTGTATCTGTAAAATGTAAATCAAAATATTAATTTAAGTTAAAATAATTTCTAAATATATTTTTAAGACCTGATTTTCTCTGATTCTGATGGAAAATTGCTGAATTATTTGCTTTTTATATTCTGGTAACAATCAAGAGAGCTGTAATAAGCCACACACACACACACACACACACACACACACACACACACACACACACACACACACACACACACACACACAATAGTAATAATAATTAATAATTTAATAATTATAATAACAGTTTATAATAATAGTATCAAATTATCATGATTGAGACTTTAATGGAAAAAAACTTAGAAGAAAGATATGGATTTGGAATTACAGAAGATAGTTGTGGTTAACTCAAAAAATTTAAAAATGTTATTTTTTTGAACTGGGTAGCTCATGCTTGTACATTACATAACTAAAACTCTACAACAAAAAAAAATTACAAATTACAACATAAACAGTTATACATTATGAAAAAAAACAACAACACATTACAACAAAAACAGTTACATAATACAACAAACAAAAACAATAAATGAATTACAACATGTTTTTTATTAAAAAAAGTCTAAAATAATTTTTTTTATTAACATCTTCACTTCCAACAAGGCTACAAGCAACTACTGTTAGAGTTGGAAGTTACTGGAAGAGATTAGATGAAGATTATAGAGAATTTTTTTTTAATTTTAAGATAAAGTTTATAAAGCAATGATTAAAAGACAACTTAAAAGATTTCAAATTACGAAATTTAGAATCATTGGATAAACGTAAAATAAGAACATTATTTTGTTGAATAAGAACTAGTTCCAGTTCCTCATTTTTTAGTCAAAAAGGAACTCGTTTCACGTTCTTCGTTCCTAGTTTGTTCCTTTTTTAATACATATTTTTTATTTTGAAAATTGTAATAGTAACTTATTGTTTCACTTGGTGAACAATGGTTTTTTAACGTGTTTTATTTAGTTATTTATTTTAAATAGTTTTTAAACATTTCTGGTATCCTGCTGGCCTAGTCTTCAACAGCATGCACTTTATACACATATAAATGATATATTAATTTTAATAACTTTTTTTTAATAACATTTTCAATAACTGCAAAAATCACCAACAATTTCAATAATTGGATCCATTTTGCAAACTAGAACAGCATTCAATAAAATTGTAATGAAACTTTTATTTTACAAGGAATTTTTCAGATTTTATTGGCTACATTTACTAACTTTAAAATTATATTGGTAACCAATATAGTTTAAAATTTAGCATATATGGCCAACTAAATATGAACTAATTCCAAACTAACCGACAATCAGTTTAGTTTAAAAATTATTAGTTAGGGTTGTTGGCTAACTGAAACCAAATTTAGATTTGATTTGATCTAAATACAACATTTTTTGCTTTTGAACCGTAAAAACAAATTTAGCGAAATCCAAATTTAAAAAGTTTTTGCAAACTATTACTTTTTGTTAACGTTCTTCCAAAAAAACAATTCGTTCTCTTTCCTTATTCTGTTATTTTAAAAGGAACAAGTTCCTTTGTTCATCAAAAAAAGAACTAGTTCCAGGAATCCGTTCCTTTTGGAACCCGTTCTTCCAAACACTGATATATATATATATATATATATATATATATATATATATATATATATATATATATATATATATATATGTATATATATATTGAATGAAAAAACTCCAACGGTATATACAAAGAATATCTACACAGTATGCAAACGTGCAAAAAAATCAGCAAATAATCTGAGCTGGGAAAATTGTAAAGAAAATGTACCGCAATTAGTGTACCCTCAACAAATTTTATGAGGATGCAGTTGTGCCTCACAAATTACACTTAGTCAAAAAAACGGCAAAACCGTTTTTTTGACTAAGTGTAATTTTTGCATAACAACATTTTCAAAAACTGTTGTATTTTTTTCTCAATTGCAGCAGTTTAAAGCTTAATAATGTGGCTATTGAAATAAACTGTTAAAAAAACACATTTTGTTTTTATTTTCATGTAAGAATAATCCAAACGTTACGGGGACGGTTATGCCCCTATCTCCCCTAATTCATTATGAAACAGCTAGATTGAGATAAAATGAATAAATTTTTAAAACGAATGTTATTGTAATATATTTTCCTGAAGGGTAAAATATTTTTACACATATTTTTCTGTATAATAAAAATTTTTATGTATAATAATCATAATTTATTTTTATAACTTTTTAGACATTTTTGGGCCCTGCATATATGGGTAGTTTTACATAAAAGCTATATAATTAGATAAAGTTATGTAAATAAAGCATTTATAAAAAAACACAGCTTTGAATGTTGCAACTTATTTGGGTTTAGACAGACAGCTAATAAAAAAAAAATAACATTCATCTTTATAGCTTAAAAACTTTAACTAAATGCAGAATAAATAAACTGCTGGAAAGTTTGACTTTAGTTTACATTTACTTATTTTAAATAATGGATTTCGTTGTAATTTAAAAAAAAAAGGCTTCTTTAAAGCGGTTTATTGATGTGGATGTATTAAACTTAATTTTACAGATAAAATAGCTACTAGCTAACTTTTTTTAACTAGATTTTTTTATTTTTGAGTTAACTTTTATTTTTTTATAAACTATTACTCCAGCTTGAAGCAATACCAAAAATTGCTGATACCTATTAAGCAGTGACCAAAAACAATTACAAATGCTTAAATGTTATGTCATTGTAAATTTTAATTTAAAGAAAGAAAGGTGGCAATGGAAAAAAATAAATATGGCATTCACTTTAATAAAACAACAAACTTAACAAAATGTATGCAGTCGTACCATGCATGTGAATGCATGGTATACAGCACTAACTAACTAAAATGATCCTTAAAATAACTTTGTCTACTCCAAAACATTGAGTTGTTGATAGTAAGATTTTCCAAGTTGCGTCTATAAAAATAAAATGCCAGGGGGTCACTACAGTCAAGGTGGACTTTGTTTTGTTTAAATTATTGTAATGATCTTTTCTCAACTCATTTAACTCCCAAACATGAGCCTGAAAAGAAAAACAAGTTGAGCATGATAAAACCAGGGGCGGGGTGGGGATGGAGCACAGAACTTCTCACTTACAAAGCAACCATTACACCATTACTTCGTAAGTTGCAAGTAGCAAAATAAATATTCAAAGATTTTTATTACTCATAAGTTAAAAAATATTAAAGAAGAAGAAAGATAAGATTAAAGAAGATTAAATATTAAAGAAGAAGAAAGATAAGATAAGAAGAAGAAAAATATTAAAGTTCCTATTGATACGTAAAAATTTCGAAACTTTGAAAATTTTGTAGACAAATTTTTAATATCTATGGAGTATAACAATAGAAAATGGTGACCTGTCAATTGTTTTAAAAGGTGCCCAATCAAAATCTTGATGACAGATTTTCATTTTTAGTATTGCCACAAAATTTAAATTTTTACCAAAAGAATTGATAATTACCTTATTACATTCATTTAAAACTTTATTTGCTTCAGCATCCACTTTTGCAGCACCAGAATCTAGTTCTTGATGATCTGCTTTAGGATCTGCTTTAGTAGCTGCTTTAGAGCCCAGACTTTTAAATGCAGAGCTGTCAAAACACATTGATCCTAAAAGAATAACGCAAATATTTACTTAAAACTATGAAAAAACTTTTATATCCAACAGAAAAAACTTCAGACTTTGACAAGTTATTATATATATTTAAAGTAGTATATTTAGTCGTATATTTAACATCTCCTAGTTGGATCTTTTAAACAACATTCAGTAAAATCTGAAATAAAAAAATCTAACATAGTAAAAAAATGTTAAAATGCAAAATTTAAGTTTTTGTCAAACTAATCGCAAAAAAATATTCTTGCAGATTATAAAACAGTTTCTTTAACACAAAAAAGTTGTATTGCTTCTTGTTTTTTTCTTGTTTAAAATTTTTTGTACAGTCTTTTTGTACAAAGCTCTTAATAAAAAAAAAACAATCAAAATTCCTTATAACTAAACGCTTGAAGTTGAGTTTGCAAAGAACAAGATCTACTACATAAAGCACTTCATACTTATTTTTTTGTAAATAAAAAATAAAAAAGACATTTTTTTTTAGAGCAATATAACCCATACATCCACTACTGTTTTAGCAAAGTAATATTTACAATTATTTACAGTACACATAGCAATAAATTTGCTTACTACAGTTTTTAGAAACCAAACATGATTATTAGTCAAACTGTCTAAAGATGTTATGCTTCCAAATATAATATAGAAATAAATATTTCTTTATATATTGGTATAATCTATATATAAATATATAAAGAAATATGCAATAATAACAAAAGGACTCAAAAGTTGTAAAGGTTAATTTAAAACACATTTAATTTTTTGCAATAATAACCTTAACAAGGTTCTGAAATACACGAAATTAACAAAAAAAAAGTTATAATAATATTTATAACAATAATAGTAACAATAATGATATTTAATACATTAAACTACACAGTATTTCAATCCCACTAGGCAAAGCCATTAATAATGATAAACCATAGCAGCTTTAGTTTGTTATTTGGTATTAATAATGAACATTATACCAATGCTGCTTTGAAGCTGTTAGTTAATTTTGCTGACAAAACTTATTCAAATAACAAACTTCCATGACAACAATGCAATTGCTATAAAACTGATTGCTTACAGCTGCACATAAATCATTACATTGTTTCCCCTGTATAGCTCTTTTTATTTATTCTTACATATATGCATTATATTAAAGATTTTTAGGAGCTTTATGCCAGTTTACTTTATTGAAACTTTTTTGAAACTTAAAGAATTAAAGTTGTCATTATTTCCATCGCCTGTAATCTTTTTTGGTATGAGCACTTTTTCAATGGACCAGATGTCTGTGTTGCTCTTTTTTGTACTCTTTCCAAAAGTTATACATTGTATTCAATATTTGAATTCCATACAAGCATATTCCAAATGTGGTCTTATATATAACTGGTACAGAATTTTCCATAGTTTTGTACTAAAGCATGCGATCGTTAAATTTGGAGCGATAAAAAAAATAAATAAAAAATAATAATAATAATTAAACTAATGCAAAAACTTCAACATTTTTTTAATCTAAGGAGCTTGAAGATTATAAAATGTTTTTTATTTTAATATATTTCATTGCATCGAATAATTAAGCAAACATTTCCATAATTGATGACATAAACTTCTGCACAGTTTCTTTGGCAATTTTTTTTCCAACTTATGTCAACTCTCTAATTAAATCTTTAGCTTTATTGAGTACTGCTGTAGCTGAATAGCTGTATTGTTTTGCACACAAATACAGCTGAATAGCTGTATTGTTTTGCACACAAATATCCTTTGCCAATTCAATGGGACGGAACTGTGGGCAGTTTGGCGGATTCAAACTTTTTGGTATGAATTTGATGTCTCTCGAATTGTATCACTTTATAGACTTCTTAGAATAATGAATAGAAGCAAGATCAGGCCAGAACCAACAGGGGACATTGTGACTTCAATAAAATGGCAAAAGTCTAGCTTTCAAGCATTCCTTGATGTAAATAGCCGAGTTTAAAGTTGGCAATGTGATAAAAGTTTGAGATCTCAAACTGTAGCTGCATATTACTTGCCACAAGAGAAGTTTCTTACCAAATTTATCCAATGTTTTATACTTGAACTTGTTGCTGACATGCCCACCAACAATTAAAGTGTAAAATTTTAGGTCTAGGAGCTGTTTGAAGTTGCATTTCAGGTACGTTTTGTCATACATAATTATGCAGCCATTAAATTTTGTAAGCACTTTGTCATTAAATTTTTGTACTAGAGTTTTAGCAGTCAGTGATTGCTTATCTGATTGGTTTGGATATTAATTGATAAGACTTGAAATTGTAAAATTTCTCAACTTTGTTGACAAAAAACTCTGAAACTCTATACCTTTTGGCTTGTTCTCTGTTCGATAAGCCAGGATTTTGTGTGAATAATTGTCGAATACTAATTACTGCTTTCTTATCTTTAAAACCACCTTTTCTTCCAAATCTTTTTGCTCGTTCAATAGATAGAGAGCTCTGGTATCATTTAATGACCATATAAACAGTAGTTTTGCTAGATTTAGATGCTTTAGCTATTAAAAGTAACAATACAGAAGGATTTTGTAGATAGTTGTGCAGAATTTTTTTTTGTTTTTCTAACTGTTCTGATGACATTTTAAATAAGAAAAATATTTAGACAGCTTTGTTGATGTTTTTAATTAATACTATCTGTACATAATGTAATTATGCAAAAAAAAAAAAAAAAATTTTAAATGTGTTTGGGACAAGTTTTAAAATGAAATTCATCATTCCGAATTTAATGATCACATGTTTTATTGCTGATAAACATTTTGCTGTCATCAAAATAAAGCTTGAAAAAATTTGTGACAATTTTGGGCAAAACAAACAGTTTTCCTCTAATCCCATACGTCACTAGCTTTTTAAGTAATCTGCAATGTGCCACCTTGTCAAAAAGATTTAGCAAAATCAAAATAAATCACATCTATAAGATGACCCATTGATAATTTATACATTATTATATCCATAGTTTCTAATAAATTTGAGGTACATGATTTTTTATGCACAAAACCATGTTGAGCATTACTATTATTATAGCAATAATAATAAAAATAGTTTAATAAATAAAAATAATAATACTAACAATGATAAAAATAATAGTAACATAGCTAATCTAATTGTATAAATTTTTATATATTTAAAAACATTAAGCAGAAAACAGTTTTGCACATTTATTTAGGAATGTATTAAAAATTCTGATGTATTATAATAAAATAAAGATACTGATGAATAATAATACTAGGGAGATACTGATGAATAATAATACAATGGAGATAATGATGAATGATAAAACAATCAAGATACTGATGAATGATAATACTATGGAGATACTGATGAATAACAATACTATAGAGATACTGTTAAGTAAAAGAATAATAAAATAATAAAATTAAGAATAAAAATAAGAATTAAAAATAAAATAATAAAATTCAGATATTTACGAATGATAATACAATGGAGATACTGATGAATGATAATACAATGGAGATACTGATAAAAGTTATTACTATGGAGATACTGATGAATAATAATACTATGGAGATTCAGATGAATGATAATAAAATTAAGATACTTACAAATGATGAGACAATGGAGATACTGATGGAAGATTATAATACAGAGATACAGATGAATAATAATACTATGGAGATACTGATGAATAATAATACAATTGAGATACTGATGAATGATAATAAAATTAATATACTTACAAATGATGAGACAATGGAGATACTGATGGAAGATTATAATACAGAGATACTGATTAATGATAATACAATGGAGATACTCACGAAAGATAATACTATGGAGATATTGATGAATGATAATAATATAGAGATACAAATGAATAATTATACTATGGAGATACTGATGAATAATAATACTATGGAGATACTGTTGAATGATAATAAAATTAATATACTTACAAATGATAATAAAATGGAGATACTAATGAATGATAATACAATAGAGATACTGATGAACGACAATACAATGGAGATACTGATGAACGACAATACAATGGAGATACTGATGAATGATAATACAATGGAGATACTGAAAAAAAGACTAAAAAAAAAACACTTAAAAAAAATACTGCTTTATATCAGCATAACACAAAAGACACAAAAATGTTAATAAACCTCACAATAACAGCATTACATTAATACAAAAATTGATATTAAAACCTTTATATTCATATTGTTGCTCATGATAAGTTATCTTTAAACTTGCCCCAGCACAGGTTTTCTTATTTGGATCATATTCAGCATGGAGACACAACCCATCAATTCGAATATTGAGTAAATCTTGAATTGCAGAAAGAACTCCTAAAAACAATTTTTTTTGAATATATAAATTTGAATATATAAATTTCAACAGAAATTTAAGAAAAACTTGGTTAACTTTTAAATAACAGAAAATAAATACAAAAATAACAGAATATAATAATGAATAATAAACATTCTACAAACTTTTTATTTATTTATTTTTTAACATCTTCCAACAAGGCTACAAGCAACTACTTTTTGAGATGGAAATTACTGGAAGAGAAAAAATGAAGTTTATAGAGAAAGCTAACAATTGACAGACAACTTAAAAGATTGCAAACTATATGAATCAGGAAGATGAAGGAAGCAAATTTCAAAGAACTGATGTTCGAGAAAAAAAAACAAGACAAATAAGAGTTTTTACAGCAATTAGGAACAGAAAATTTTGAAAGATATAAGAGTAATCAAGAAAAAAACAAGAATCAATAATAATAATCATCAATAAAACTATATTCCACTCAAATGACAACTGACATTGAACTAGAAATATTACAAACATTAAATTAAAGAACAGTTTCAAGCAATTTGCTTGAAAGTCACTACCTTGGTAAAATATTAACTAGATAAAAAAAGAACTGCATGGCTAATCATGGTTAGAGGTAATATATCTGTACTCTTATATAGAGAAAACTTGTAATTTTAAAAATGTGTCTTTTAGTTTTGAAAGACTTTAATAACTTTTTTTTAATAACGTTTAACAACTTTTTTTAATAACGTTCTTATAATAAACTCTTTAATCAAATAACGTAATTAGATTTTGTAGATAAAAATTGTAGATTAGACTTAAGAACTAATAATGCTATAGTTATATTACTTATTTTCTAAGCAAAAAATAAAATGGTCTGACCTTGAAACATCCCTGGTAGTATTACAATTTTTCTTCCGCTAAGCAGATTTACTTGTCACGATTTATATTTAAAAGTTTACAGAGCAAGATAACAATTGACAGACAACTTAAAATATTGCAAATTATATGAATCAGGATACCAAGACGAAAGAGGAATAAAGGAATAGAGGAATAAAAGTTTTTACAGCACTTAGGAACAGTCACAGAAAAAGGATGAGACTTAATTGAATGACGAGTAATATGAGAATGAATTTTAGTAGATGGCACAAGAGTTGCTAGCTCTTTAGAGCAATGCACATTATAGCATTTGTAGAAAAGAGAAAGAGAAGCAAAATTACGACGATGTGATAATGGTTGGAGGTTGGTTACAAAAGCAGGTTCAATAATGTTTACAATGTGTTTTTGCACCTTGTTAAAAAGAGAAAAGACATCATTAGAAGATCCACTCCAGATATGGCAACAGTATTCCATATAAGGCCCATTTGAAATTTTCAGAGATAGAGAGTTGAGTCCGAAGTAAAAAAGTGTTGAGCTCAATAAAGAGATACAACCTTAGCAGGTGCTAATTTTGCAACGGATTTGATATACAGTTTTCAAGTAAGAATGGAAGTAAAAGTTAATCCTAGAAGATGAAGGGTAGCTGACTCATCTAGTACCTTACCATTCATAAATATAGGAAGGTCTAAAGTATTGCAATAAGGATTGGTCGAAAAGAATTGGGTTTTATCTAAACTAAAGTTCACTAGCCACTGTGAGCCCCATGCTGTTGTAGAAGAGAGATCCTTTTTGAGCTCAAATGCCCCCTCCAAGCAATCAGAGAGTGTTGGCTTCTTATTATGACATCAATAAATGGTAGTATTATAAGCAAACAATGCTACCTTGAATGTGAGAATATCTGGAAGATTATAAATGTAAATTGAAAAAGAGTATAGAGCCAAGGATTCAACCTAGAGGAACCCCTGAAGTTACAGGATTTGAAGAAGAGTGCTGTCCATCGAGGACAACTTTTATACTACATTTGTAAAAGAAAAATTCAATAATCTTAAAAATGTTACCAGATACATCGTAAGAAAAAAACTTATGGAGAAGATGCTAAACTTTATCAAAAGCTTTAGAAATGTTGAGAGCAACAGCCTTAAAATCTCCACCTTTATCTAATACACAATAAAACCTATTGGTTATTACTGTTAGCAAATCAGCTGTAGAACAAGAAGATCGAAATCCATATTGATGATCAGAGAGTAAGTTTTTAGATTCAAGATGAGAGATTAAGTGTTTGTTAATTAAAGATTCAAAAACCTTGCTTATGATAGAAAGAAGACTAATGGGACAGTAGCTAAACAAGTTTAATCGCTCTCCAGAATTTTTGAAAACAGATGCCACTTTCCAGCAGGCTTAAAAACAAGACTCTGATAAGCACTTGACACGTTTTTTTTTCTGCAAGACTATAACAGGTATGTTGTCCACACCACAAGCTATAGAAGAGTCTAAGCAGAAAATCATTTTAGATACAGAAGCTGGAGTGATACAAATGTCAAGCAACCGATCAACCTGTTTGATGGCTAAATCAGGTAGAACGCAAATAGTGGAATCAAGGGATGATATTGATGAAAAGTTCTTAGCAAACTATTCAGCTTTGCCTTAAGGTGAGGTGACAAAGTCTGAACCATATAAGATAGGTGGAATAGCAGATTTGCCATATTATTGATACTATTAAAGATTCTCTAAAAGTCACGAGAGCCTTATTTTTTTGATGAAATACAAGATTTCATAACCTGAGAGTAGCAGGCTTTGGCATTAGACAAAACTTTTTTACAATGGTTTCTAGCATTTCTAACATGGTAGCATTTCTGAATATAATTTCAGAGTTAAATTTAAAAAGAATTACATTTATTTTCATTGTGAAAACAAAAATGTTTTTAGGAATACTTTTATATTTGTAGAACTTTATTGCTAAATAAATTATTTTATACATGATAAAATTATTTAAAAAAAAAATAATATTTATTTGCATGATAAAATCATTTTGAAAACACTGTAAAAACGTGTCCCTTATTACAGAATCTGAGATTTGTCATATCTATTCAATACCCAATCTTAAATCCAAAAATGGTGTCATAATGCAACATCTTCTATAAAAATTATATTTAAAAAAAAGGTTTATAAACGTTTTTAATTTCAGTGAAATTTTGAAATTTTTAATAATGCTAAAACTGTATTTAAATATTTACCCTGTGCAACTTTATTTGCTAAATCAACCACACGCTGACCTAAAGTAACAATGCCTTTTGCAGCTTCCAAAATTGCAGTAGCAGCATTACTGAATAGATCTCCAATTGAAGTTATACCTTGCATAATCTATAAAAAAAATGCTTAAATATAAAATTACAATTATAAATAAAATATCATTCTATATATATTTTTTTTAAATGGAAAAAATCTTGAAATATTTTCAGTCACCTTTTTTCCTAAGCAGAGTTTTTATAATAACAATTTGTCTAATAAGAGTCACAAACTTATTAGGGTAAGTGATTAAAAAAGATAAAAGTTATGATCTTTAGGGATAGCAGGGTCAGTGGCACTAGAGACATTTCATTAAGTTTAATGATAGTCATTAATAACAACACTATTGGTAGATGAGTAATAGAAAAAAAAGCTTGGTTGAATAGATCAGAAATAAAATAAAAGTGCAATCTTGGAAGTAAAAAGAACAATAAAGAAGAAAGAGGGGATAGTTTATGCAGAAATTGAAGTGTATATCTATCTATCTATCTATCTATCTATCTATCTATCTATCTATCTATCTATCTATCTATCTATCTATCTATCTATCTATATATATATATATATATATATATATATATATATATATATATATATATATATATATATATATATATATATATATATAAATATATATATATATATATATATATATATACATATATATATATATATATATATATATATATATATATATATATATATATATATACATATATATATAAATAATTTATATATATATATATATATATAATTATTAATTTTTATGGTTATTATAATAGAATTATTATATATATATATATATATATATATATATATATATATATATATATATATATATATATATATATATATATATATATATATATATATATATATATATATATAATGGCTTAACCATCCCAATATAAACAATGTGTTATTAACAATTTCATCCCTATATAAACAAATATGTTATTTGTTTATGTATACTGTTTATAAAATGTAAAAAATCCACTTATATAACATTCTATTCAGAATCGTATGTAAGTAAACTTTTCTAATAATTAGAAATCTTTTTTGCTCAAGCTGTTTTGTTTTGATTTTTTGTAGTTATTTTATTATATTTAAAAAAATTGACAAGATTAAAAAAACACGAAACATATTGTCACATCCATGTGGAAAATTTGAAACTTCAACTTTATATTTACCCCTCTATAATTTCTGATTGCTAAAATTACGTTATTTGCTACTTTGACCTTTAAAAATGATAGTCATAGAAATAAGATTTTATTTCTTTTTTTAAAAAAATCTCTTTCTATTAAAGATATATGGAATACATTTTTATGGGATATATTCTAATAAAGACAAAAATTATTTATTTATTACTATTGTAATAAATACAATCTCTTATTCGTGAAAATGATATATCTGTACCAGTTTTATATATTTTTATGCATTTGTATGCAACATAATTAAAATAAATCAAAAAAATGTAAGATAAATGCAAAAGGAAACTTGACGCATAAAGGTTTATTTTGCCTTAAACTGACGTCAATGCACAAAATCTTTTTAGCTTCAATTTTTTTTATGACTATGTTTTAGTACTTTAAGATCTTCTTAGTTCCATTTATTATATTTTTATATATATTACTATTTTTTTGCTACAAATATATAAGCAAGATTGAAAAAATTTTAAAATTTATAACGCTAAGAGGAGGTCTTAAACCCTCCAAAACAACACTGAGTTTAGTCAATGAATTTAGCAGAAAAACAAACCTAATCATAAGTTTCTTATAAGCTCTACATATGCAGAAAAGGTGCGCATGTTAAATTTTTTGCTCTTAAAGTTTTTTTTCAGAATAAATTATTTTACTAAAATATATTGAAGTAAATAAGGAACAGGTATAAAATAATTGGTGAGGAATATATATGTAAATCGAATAAGTGAGGAATAGATTTACAAACACCCCTACTTTTACGGGTCTGATCTCAGCTAGTATATATATATATATATATATATATATATATATATATATATATATATATATATATATATCCATTATGTGTGTATATAATATGTATCACTATGAGCAATATTCAGGTTTGATAGGTTCTTCTAACCTGTTTCTCTGTGCAGACGCCTTGTTTAACAAGGTTCATGTTTTAGGTTTTTTGATATTCACCTCCCCAAGGCCAAGAAAGCCACTACAGTCAAAAAGGCTACTTTTATTGTGGTTACAACCCTCTCTCAAGTCATTAATGGTGAAACACAAACCTTGACGAACAAGGTTGCTGTGGATAAAAACAAGTTGAGCACAGTACTACAAGGGAAGTGGTGGGAATCAAACTCAAACTTCTTGGTTATGAAGCAAGCACTCTACCATTACACCACTATCGTTAAGAGTTGAAAAAGAGTTCCAAATAAAAGGTTGAGAGAGAATTGAAAAAAAAACAAACTCTGGAGCCTAAGAAAGGTAATTTAATTTGAAAAAAAATACTTTGCATATGATATTAATTTTAGATTCAATACATAAAAATATTAAATCATTTGAGAGTAAAACAATGGATCCAGAATGTTACATAGGAGGTGCATTTATCAACCTAAGGACCATCACAAAGAAAATCACAAAAATGATGAAAGATTTATAGAGACTATTGAATTGTCAAAACCACCTAAATAAGAACAAAAACTGAACACAAGCTTGGGTAACGAGACAAGACACAATTCAAGAAGTGAAGGTAAGCGAGTAAGAATTGTCAGGAAAATGAGAGTCACAAAGTTGACTGTTAATCTAAGTTAATATAAGTTATCTTGAATCTATTAAATTTAATTATTCAATTGTGTTAAAGATTTAAAAAAATAAAAGTTACGAGTTTAAGTGTCAGCAGGGTCAGTATTGTTAGAGCTGAGCCATTCATTGTGTGATGTAAAGTGAAAGGACATGGTCAATTTGGTTAGAAATTACATCTAAAAGAGTGTAATTTTGAAAAGAAGTTTAATAGTACCAAGCAAAAGCACTTAAAAAAAAATGATCGGATGATTCAAACCTGATTTCTTGACAAATACATGAATTGATGCATAAGTATACCACCAAGCCCAGCATGTGACTATTAGAGTATTGGCCAATCAAAGTATAGTATTTACCATGAGATTTGAAGAAGAAACGGCCGAACTTAGTTTACTCTCACAAAGAGCAAGTAAGTATGGTGAACTTTGCTAGAGTAAGATTCAACTGATGGAAAATTACTTTGAAGACCATTTATATTTGTGACAGATAAAAACAGTTAGGTTGTGGTGATGGCTTTTTATGTTTAATATTATTGATTACTTTAGGCATGATTTAAGCTAAAAAAAACCTGACTCATTCCTAGATAAAGCATAAAGCTAAATAATGGCATCCCATGCAATGAGCTACACAGCTGACTCAGTTCTGGTTTAATTAATTCAAACTCCTTATGTAGTCTCGACAATACGCAACAAAAGCACACCATTCATGTGCAAAATGGCACTGTTAATACTCAGATATTTCAAAGCTGTTGATGAAATCAGCCTCTCTGAGAGCTACTACAGATTTCGTAAAAATTTACTAATTGCCAGCCTTATAACCAAAAAAAAAATTCTGCACCAATCAAAATTCAAAAAATACCTTGCTATCAAATTGAGTTTTAGAGCTGTAACCTTATTAGGAGATAACAGAAAGAGTTGCATAGCCATGCTAAACGAGGCACCAGCAAAAATATATAAGTAGAGTCAAGAAGATCCAGAATTCATTATACTAGGCAGGAAATAATGCAACACAGATTAGCATCTACTCCAACTTAATAGATGAAGTAGAGTTGCGAGGCTGGTCAACACAATTGTTCTGCTTACCCCTTTATTCACTTTATTTCAAAGTTGTATGGGCTACATTTTTTTTTTTGCAAACTGGAACTGTCAAGTTAACCAAATGTTCAGAACATTTATTATTAATTTTGAAACTTGTATTACACATAACGCAATTTATAGTTTAAAAGTTTGTTGTGTAACTAGTTCTTTATTCTTTATGTGAAATCAAACTTTTCAAACAAAAACTATTAATGAATTTGAAGTTACACATACTATTTTAAAATTACTTGTAATATTTAATTTTTGTTAAATTTTGTTGCTTATTTTGTTTTTAAATTCGTTATTTTTGCAAGCAGTGATTGCGCACCCAACTTATTTTATGGCACAGGTTCATTACTTTCTTTGAATTGAGGCAAAACTCAATGTAACCACTGATTGGTAAACTCAGACAAAACTTAATAAAACTCAAGGGTTGAATTAACGCATCGCGATTTGCGATATCTGTTAAATTTTCTGGTCTTCAAAGTTTCAGTTTATGGAAAATCACGAAATTTACGGAATAGGCAAATAAACTTTAATTTGTTAGTGAAAATGTTATGAAAAACAAAACAATAAATTTAAGACTACAAAAGTAATAATACTACAGTGTTGTTACTTTTATAACACTCTTTTATGTTACATTTATAGTTTATTGTTTGATCAAACAACACCTAATCAAGATATTATAAATAAAAATGATTTAGTTAAGTAATTCCAAACTTTAATTAAAGTAGTAATGCATCTAAAAAAAATACAATGGATATTTAAACAATGTTAAAAACCTCAGCAACTTTTAAGAATACATATTTTTATAAACAGTTTAGCATTTTTAAACATCTTACTAACGGTCCGGAAAAAAAGCGCGTTCACTTTAAAATCAACCAATAAAAACACTGGTAATTTACTTCTTAGGAGAAATCTATGTTAAAAGGGGAGGAGGGGAGGCTAAAAACTTAAATTTTGTTTTATTATTTAATTAATTAAATCATAATAAAAGTAAAGACAAAAAAATATAATTCTAAATATACTTCTTTATAACTAAAATTTATTAAATTGAACACCTCTGTTTTTAGTTTTAAGTAAATGTCAGTACTACTCTCAGTGGCGAAACTGCGGGGGAGGGGGGGGCTTTGGTTAACAGACAAAAAGTGTTCTGATTTTAATTTAATTTTAGGTTGCATGGGCGATATGGGGCTGATTTTGAAAATCGTGTTATTTGTTTATAACAAGTCACTTGTTATAAACAAAAAACTATATCTCAAAACAAAAATTCAGTGAAAATTGGCCTTAAAATTAAAAAAAATATATATTGGTAACCGATAAATAATAAAACTTTCATTGTAAATCCTCCCGCTTTTTTTTATTATTTACTCCTCCCATTTTATATATCCTGACTAAAATTCCCACCCCCACCTACCTATGTATTAAGCACATTAGAGTAGTCAGTAGCAAAATTCCCCCCCCTCCTCCGCACAATTTTTAAAATAAGCCCCACATCGCCCATGCAACCTAAAATTAGCTTAAAAATAGGACACTTTTTGTCTGCTACCCCCCTTCCCTCTGCAGTTTCGCCACTGAGAGTAGTACTGACATTTACTTAAAACTAAAAACAGAGGAGTTCAATTTAATAAATTTTAGTTATAAAGAAGCATATTTTTAGAAATATATTTTTTTGTCTTTACTTTTATTATGATTTAATTGATTAAATAATAAAACAAAATTTAAGTTTTTAGCCTCCTCCCCCCCCCTCCCCTTTTAATATAGATTTCTCCTAAGAAGTAAATTATCAGTGTTTTCATTGGATGATTTTAAAGTGAACACGCGTTTTTTCCGGACCGTTAGTAAGATGTTTAGAAATGCTAAACTGTTTATAAAAATATGTATTCGTAAAAGTTGCTAAGGTTTTTAACATTGTTTAAATATCCATTGTATTTTTTCAAGATGCATTACTACTTTGATTAAAGTTTGGAATTACTTAATTAAATCATTTTTATTTATAATATCTTGATTATGTGTTGTTTGATCAAACAATAGACTATAAATGCAACATAAAAGAGTGTTATAAAAGTAACAACACTGTAGTATTATTACTTTTGTAGTCATAAATTTATTGTTTTGTTTTTCATAACATTTTCACTAACAAATTAAAGTTTATTCGCCTATTCCGTAAATGTTCCATAAACTAAAACTTTGAAGACCAGATAATTTAACAGATATCGCAATTCGCGATGCGTTAATTCAACCCTTGAAACTACTGTTTCATTAAGTTTTGCCTATGTGCATACATGCCTAAATATTTTAAACATCACATACACAGAAATACAGAACTGTGCAAAAATGTTTTTTTACTTGAGACAATTAATTACTTAACTTCATTAACACGTAAATAAAGCAAAAAAACAACAACAACAACAACAACAACAACAAAAATATAAAAACCTGTATTCCAAGTGTTTCAACCCAACTAGTAAATTTTTGAAAACCACGTTTAATTTCACAAGCAGCAATACATATAATATTTGGTGCTTTCCATTTACATGAATCCCATTTTAGACAACCAACAGGATAACCCCACAAAGTAGTACAATGAGATACCCATCCAAAAAATGGAACACATACTAAATTAGAAAGATAAAAACAAAAAAAAAAACAATTTAAAAATAAAAACAAAAAAAAAATCAATATTCTTTAGTCCCATGCAAATTTATGCTTAATAAATGTTTTATGCTGAGTAAGTGTTTAATTTCATATAAACTAAAAAGTATTATAATACTTCTTAACAAAACAATGACAGGTGTAGTGCTCTGGAAATGACTTTTACATAATAAAAGCATAAAGGAAAAATTTTTAAAATTTGGAATTCCCTAATGAACTTGCTATGGAAGAAATTCAAAGTTGTAGAAAATGATGTTCTTTACAAATACATAGATGCTTTTTTTTTTAACAACAGTTGAGCATTTTGTAAAATACACTATGTAAATTATATACACTCTGTATGTTATATACACTCTGTATGTCATGTACACTATTTATATTATGTACACTATGCATATTATATACACTTTGTACGTTGTATACACTATGTACATTGTATACACTATGTACGTTGTATACACTATGTACGTTGTATACACTATGTACGTTGTATACACTATGTATATTATATACATATAAAAAATTTTTTTATACAAAATTAACAACATTTAAATTTCAGTATTTTTTTAAATATTTTTTAAAAATGTATAAAAAAATTTTTAATATATATTTTAGGCAGAACCAAATAATAAAAAAAAAATTAAAAAAATATGAAAATATTAAATATGAAAATATTAAAAAAATATGAAAGTTTATTTGGAAAGTTCTATTAAAGCAGATAATATTTTGTTTTTTCCATTATTCTTTTTGGAAACAAAATATGGAGAAACAAACAATCAAAGAAAAAACTAGATAAAAGTTTTCACTAATTTATTTTTGCTCTGCTTTTTAAAAACATTGAGCACTCTATTTGTAGAATACGCTAATATAATATATATATATATATATATATATATATATATATATATATATATATATATATATATATATATATATATATATATATATATATTTATATATTTATATATATATATATATATTTAAACAATTTAAAAAAAAATGTATTCTACAAAATAGAGTGCTCAATGTTCTTAAAAGAACAGAGCAATTATAAATTAGTAGAAAATCACATAAGAAAGTTTTTTTTCATTTTACACTGTGTTTCATCAACAAAGACTCATCAGAAATGCATTTCTGACGAGTCTTTGTTGATGAAACACAGTGTAAAATGAAAAAAATTTTTGTTAAGTGATTTTCTACTAATTTATATATATATATATATATATATATATATATATATATATATATATATATATATATATATATATATATATATCTGTGTGTGTGTGTGTGTCTGTGAAAAAAGTTGGGGGAGCTGAAATGGAAAATAAGGAGGATTAAGGCAACCAGAATCAGAAATTAAGTAAAGAATGAAAAAATTGAATAAAATTTTCTAAAAATTAAGGGGCCCGTCCATATCTTATTCGCTGGTCGATCACAACAGTGGCATATTCAGGGGGAGTAGGTTCCTGCACCCCCATCACTATTTAAAAAATATACATGCTATATTTCCTCGGTTAAATATTTTAAACTAATTATCAAAAAAGTTTAATATTTCAAAATATAAATGTAAAAATACTTGGGTAACTAAATAAAAAAAAGACTTTCTATATCTAAAAAAGTAATTTTTCCCATCCATTTTTTAAAGTTCTAATTGGTGATTTTTTTTGCGCCTTTAACTCACTAAAAATCACTGAGTCAAAAAATATAGATATAATCTAATAGAAAATTTAGAATTGTTTGTTTATTATAGTTTAATTTATTATTATAGTAATAATATGATATTTTTAATATTAAACACTTAATATTATAAATATAATAATATACTAAGTATTTAATAATAACTTAATATAAAAACTTAATAAATACTTAATATGATATTATTATTTTTAAGGGTTTAAAAAAAGAAATGTAAATACAACTTCTATTTTATTTTTAGTTCCCTTTTATTTTAATTTCCTTAAGTTAATGTATTTTTTTATGAGTACGTAAATTTAACAAACTAAATTTAAAAACTTAAGAAAAACTTTTTTGAATTAATAGATAACCATATTCAATCATTAAGTTAAGTTGCATATTATTAAGGCCGTTTTCCACAAAACAAGATTTTTTGTTGATAAGCACGCGTAGATAAAACATTTCTGCTAATATTGCTGATCAACTCGCTGTAGTAAAAAAAAAAGTTGATCGTTATGAGCGAAAACCAATCATGTTTAAACAGTATATCACATGAAGTTAACAGTAAAAAAAAGCAAAAGCACATATATATTTTAAAATAACAACAATTACAATGAACAAAAACAACAATAAGCAAAATGCTCAACTCACTCTGAAAATTGGCAAGCATTAGTAAATTCATCAAACAAAGATGACAAATACTGTCATTTGCAAAAGTTTCACACAAGAAGGTTTATCTTCTTTAAGAGTTGAACTATATGTAGAAATCAAAATAGCATTTCGTGATGACAAAAAAATTTGTTTCTTGCGATATTTTTTATCTTGTAGATAACGGCCTTTAATTATCATTAATTTGTGTGCACTTTGCAAATGCATAAATTTTTGTATTGATATACTAATTAATGAATTAATTTAATAAGCATGTTTGATATATCAAATAATTTATTATCTAGAATAAAAGTTATTTGAAAATAAATTTTCCTTATAATTTAATAAAAGATTGTTTAAATAAAAAAAACATTGAAAACAAAACTTCTATATTTGTCATTTACCTCTTATATTAGACATTCAACAAAAAATAAAGATATGAACGTCAACCTTTATTTAAAAAAAAACAATTTGTCGCGCCCTATATATATATATATATATATATATATATATATATATATATATATATATATATATATATATATATATATATATATATATATATATATATATATATATATATATATCTATATATATATATATATATATATAAATGTTTATATATAAATATATATATCTATCTATCTATCTATCTATCTATCTATATATATATATATATATATATATATATATATATATATTATATATATATATATATATATATATATATATATATATATATATATATATATATATATATATATGTATATATATATATATATATATATATATATATATATATATGTATATATATATATATATATATATATATATATATATATATATATATATATATATATATATATATATATATATATATATATATATATATATATATATGTTGCAAGTATGTTATAAAGATTTCATAAACTTACCTGTCCCACATTCTTTGAAACAATTTCCACTTAATTGTTCCCTTTCTTTTTCTAGTTCCAATTTCCTAGCCTCTAGTTTTTGTCTATAATCATCAAGCCCTGTATTAAAAAAAAATCTAAAGTTAAGACATTTTATAATAATAATAGACAGTGCTCAAAGCAATAAAAAAATCATCTATTAATTGATCTTGTATAATTTTTAAAATAGGAAAGATACAAAAAGGCGGCAAGATTTAAACTTTATAACAACATCCTGCCTTACCTTGCCTCACTTAGAGCACTGTACTTTCTCTAGCTTAGTCCTTTTTTTAAGTTTAAAATTAACCTTCTATTCTACTCTATTTTTCTTAATTCTATTATTATATCTATTATAATGGCACTAATGCATAAAATATACTACATATACATATATATATATATATATATATATATATATATATATATATATATATATATATATATATATATATATATATTTAATATATGTTATATGTTATAGGTGATATGTTTTTAATCTAGATGAATTCAAAAATAAAATTTATAAATTTATTTTTTTATACTTCAAATTAAATATTATCAAAGAGACAAATATAAATCTTAACTACATTATTCTTACTTGTGATTATCTTGTTCTTATGTGGTTTATATTGTACCAAAATGTTTTTACATATATAAATTATTAGCATATGATATGAATTCATTATTTTTAAAATTTATGTAATTTTCCACATGAAGATTTAACCAGCTGCATAATGTCAAAATAGTTATTATATGATTGTTTGAACAAGATTATTTCTAGGAAGAGGAAAAAATAACTAGGATGTCTCGTGTTGTGTAGATGTACTTCACATAAAACAAAATAATATAAACAGTTCATTTCAAGTTGATGTTATATTATGAATAAAACATAATGCTTTGAAAATTACTTTTAATTATCTTTATTCTGATCCAATTAAGTAACTTTAACAATTCTTTTTTGTTGACCAATCACATTTCAGTATAATTCTCACAACCTTGTTTTGTAGTTCTTCTAGGATATTCAAGTTATTGTTATTTACATCAAGACAATATAGAGACACAGTATTACTATTGAGAGCAATAAAGGCTTGAAAGATTAATATTTTGACTTAAATGGTTGCTTGTTCATTGCATGATATCCAGTTTTCTTTGTAGTTTTAATATATTTGATGAGTTTGTAAAATAAAGTTTGTTATCGATGTTGAATTCCTAAATACTTCATGCAATCACCAAGTTCAGATTATCTCATACAAGATCACATTTAGAATAGTGTTGGTAAAAAAATAGCAAAACAGAATATCCTAAAAGTTATTCTATTTTTGAACTTTTTTTTATTTTATTTTTTATTTTTATTTGCATTCACTCCCAACAAGGCTGCAAGCAACCACTATTAAGTTGGGAGTTACTAGGAAAAAAAAGAATAGAGTTATAGAGCAAGGAATATAACTTACAATAAATTATGCTTATTGTAAATTGGAATTGTATACAAGCTAAGTTTGTTATTTTTTAGCAATCTTGGTTCAATTGCAGTAATTGCTATATCAATAGCAGTCTTGGTTTAATTGAACTAACTTCATTGAAGTTAGTAACATTAATACACACCATTGTGTCATCAGCAAACAAATTGATAAATAACTTCATTGAAGTTAGTACCATCAATACACACCAATGTGTCATCAGCAAACAAATTGATAAATAAATGCTTACCATATGCAAATGCAATTTTCATAAAAAAATGATTTTTTGACTAAAATTAATAAACCTTACATACTTTGGGACTGCTTGGACTGGTTGATGACTAATAAAACAATTAGTTCTTTTTTTTTACACAGAACCAACAGTAAAAATTTCTCATCTGCAGTGCTTGAAGTGGGGCCAGATGCCATCCCATCACCTTTTTATAAAATATAAACCATCCCGCCACCTTTTTATATATCAAATCAAATATATAACAATGATTTGGCAGGATGGTATTTTTAATTTACTGACACCATCCTGATATATTTTTTTCGTTTATTTTCTATTTTTAGTAATCTATTTTCAATTTTTAGCGATCAACTTTTAGTTTTCTTAATAGTGTTTTTGTTTTTATTTCTTATTTTTAAAATTTGTTATAATGGACTTTTGCTTTTGCTTTCACTTTCACCCGTAACATTTATACTAAATGTATTTTTTTATCTTGAATTTATTCTTTTACTATACCTGTAATATATATAGAACTCCTTAACCAGTTATAGTAAATAAATTAATTATTAATGAACAAATAATTTCTAATGAACAAATAATTTTATTGAAGTTCAGTCTATTAGTATTGATAAATATTATCTTTATTATAATTTCATAAAATAATCTGTTAGAGTTCAAAAACACCCTCAAAATGAACAGGGTTCAAACTTTACATGGTCATAATTTTTAATGTTATAGATTAACATGATTTATTCAAAACATTTTTGATTAAAACATTTTTCCAGTCATCAAAAAATTCCACAAGAGCGGTTTTGTTCTCTTATTTTGTTTTGTTTTGTTTTTCTTTTTTTTATTAATGAATAAAGTCGATATTGACTTAGATATTACCCAATGAAATCAAATTTCTCTTAGATATTACCCAATGAAATCAATTTTCTCCAAGATATTATCCAATGACGCTGACGTTTTTGACAATATACTTAGGACTTTAGTTTTATGTCATTTCTATAATATAATGTACAATAACCAGTATGAGTATATGACGATTTTAAATTTAAAAAGAAATAGACAATAATTGTAAACTTTTTATCAAAAATTATTGACAGGGGGTTTCAGCCAACGTATATAAGGTTTAAGTTAAGTTCATTGTTATTACTATTAATTTTATTCAGACCAATAATATTTGCATTTGCAATTTAAATCTTATCAATGACAACTAATAATATACAATATATCACCAGCTGTCACTGCGATGTCACCAGCTGTCACTGCGATGTCACCAGCTGTCACTGACTTTTATTCTAACCTACTTTTTATACTATTTTTATATTATTTAATACCAAACATTTTTTTATCAAATGCACAGCGCGTAGGACCTAATTTGAATCTTTAATTTTTGTTAAGGCAGTTGACAACTATTTTTGTGATTTTGACAAACTTTACTGTAAAAAAGACTTAAACTGTAGCAATGTAAAGAATTATCAAAATGACCATTTTTAGCTAGAGGGTTGTAACTTTGACAATAATAACATTGAACAATATTAATATATTTTTTAATTTGAAACAATATCCAACCTATTCCTAATAAATCATTATAAACCAACAATTACCTATCATTTTTAATAGTTTTAATGCTAATTCGTTTTACAATTTTGCTTTAAAGTAAAATTGTAAATAAATGATAAATATTTCATTTAGAACTATTATACCATTTGCAAATAATTCATTAATTACTTCATCATAGGCAGTTCTTTCAGATTCAATATTGATTGGTATTATCATTTAATTCGCAAAGACTCATAATAATTTAATAATTCTTGATAATAATGGAATGAATATGTTGATTCTTAAGTTAAATGTTTTACTTATATTTACTAATATCATCTTTACAAAGTGTTAAATTATAATAGCATCAAAGTTGATACAAAATATGTTTAATTGAAACATTACATTTTCATATTTAGCCTAAAATCACTGTTTAATGTTATCAATTAAAAAAGGATAGCAGAGGGGGTAAAACTTTCAAAATGAAAACTTTGAAAACCTTCTTATTTTTGCTTTTAATGGACAAAATGACACACAATACTGTCTAAATTTTTTTTTACTTATTTGGGAAACCTTAATATTTATATAGTATTATATATTCAGCAACAAGTCAATGCTCATTCGTAAGTGATTGACAAAGCACTCATGGCAGTGATTGACACGGCATTCATTGCAACTGAGGTAATGACAAGAAAGAACCGCAGCACTTTTTTATATTAGAAAAAGTGTATGCAAATATTAACTAACTTATGTATACTTCAAATTATGTAATGTTAAACATATATTAACTTATGCATGCTTCAAATTATGTTAAACAAGTTTTACAGTGCAACTTTTATTTAGTGAATTGAAGCAATATCAACTTAATTTTGATTTACAGAATTCATTTGCCATTTTATAAAAACCTTTTGTTTATTAAATACTATTAAAATGTTTTTTTCTATTAGATAGTGTTAAAACTGTTAACCAATAAAGCGTATTTTTATAAAATACGCTTTATTGGTTAAAGTGGATAGTTCACAGAGTTTTTGAAGTGTATCGCCATGGTTCAAACCTACCACTTGACCATTATTTATTTTTTTAAAATTTTTTATTTTTAAAATATAAAACAAAACATTTTTGAAGTTCTTTAGAAATTATATGCATAACATATGTAAAGATATCATATACTATAATAAACAGTAGGAAGAGAATAAAAAAAGCTTAAAATTTCTAAAAATATCAAAACAATGGGAGAGTTGTTGCGCATATGTCATGATAGAAATAACTTAAATGTGCTTATGTAATTAGTCCTCAAAAAACTCGTAAACTTAATAAAGAAAAAAAATAACAAGCCCGTCCTTCTACTCCATATAGTACTGCTCCAGATATAGGCAAAAAAAAAAGTTTATAAATCCTTATTTTAATAATTCAAAGTCTTTTTTGCTATATTTATTTTTTTACTCTAAATATATACAGCCAGATTGAAAAAATTTCAAATGTGAAATTATGCATGTAAAAGAAAAACAAACCATTTTATAAATTTTTTATAAGCATATGCGGAAAAGATGCGTATGTTAACTGTTTTTTCTTTTTAAAATCAATTTTTATTAATCAATTGTTTTTCTATTGTTGACTAAAAAATATTAAAGTAAATAAGGAATAAGTATAGAAATGATCTGTGTGGATTATATAAGTATAGAAATGGTAGTTTGGCAAAGACCCATATTTTATTGGTCAAGCCAGCTAGGACAGCTATATATAAAGTATGTGAAAAATTTGTTACTATGTTTGATCAAATAGTTATTTTATTTTTAGATAAAAAAGCTGAAAAAAAAAAAAAAATGAAATTTTAACCTTATTAATTAGACTATATTAGAAAATATTGCTTTTTATTAAATTGAGTATTTTTAACTTTTTTTTAAATTTTTATGTGAGCTAATGGTGACAATATGGTCGCAAACTATTAAAATTAAATTAAAATATATATTGAATACATCCTCCCTTAGATTAATTACAGCCTAATTTCTTTCAGAAACGCTAGCAATCAATTTTAGGCATTCCTTGAGTGTAATTAAGTACCAAATGTCTTGTACACAATATTAAAGTTAACCCTTATTCTTAGATAGAGTAAGAAAGTTGTAGACCTGTTGTTTAACAATTACCCTTAAATTTTCAAGTCTGTTAACATCAGGTCTTTATGCTGGCCAATTAACAACTTTCAATTTTTTTTTGGCATACTTTTCTGCCCCATTTTCAAAATGATTTGAGATATGTGACCTTAAGAATGTTGATACATTTAACAGCATTCATTATTCCATTAATTTTGCCAAACCATTAACTCTACAAGTGCAGAAACATCCCCAAAAGAATGATTCTTCTTTTCCATATTGAACAGCTGGTGTAAAACCTCAAGCATTTAATGGAGAATTTAAATTGATTTTAATTAAATATTTTTTAAAGTTTTTTAAAGTTTTAGAGTTTTTTGTTAGTTTTTTCTTCAAGTATATCTTATACCATATGATCCAAACATTTTAACTTTACTTTCATTTGTCCGTAAAGTTCATCAAAAGTCTTGTTTGCATGAAGTTTAGCATAATTTAAACAAGCTTGGCAGTGGCAAGAAGACCAACAAAGGCTTCTTGATAATCTTTTGAGCTCTTAATTGACTGTCTGATCTGAAGCATGAGTCTCATATATGTTATTCATTAAATTTGTAACATCCTTTGCAGTTTTAGACTCTTTAGAAGCAATTAGACAAGCGATTTTTTTTTGGTCTTTTGGTGTAAAAATTTTCTTACAACCTTTTTTAGCTATATTTACATGTAAATCATTGTACAATTTGGTTTTATATATGAGATTATATATTATATATTATAACTATATTATAGAGACTCAGCAGCAATTTCATAAGATTTTCCAGATATAAGCCTTTCCACACTATTTTTTTCTAAAGCAAGATTTTTTTTCTTTAAGATGATAATAACAATATTTTTTTATGTTTTGTAAACAAAATATAACTTTAAAAAATGTTTTATCATTAAATATCTTTTGGAAAGTTGATAACCCAATCATATTAGTTTATTAATCATATTAAGACCATTACTTTATGTATTATGTGTAATTAACTGTGGATGATATATATATATATATATATATATATATATATATATATATATATATATATATATATATAACAAATAAAATACAATAACTGTTATAAATAACTTATAATAGATAAAGAATTAGATAAAAACTAATTAAAAATGATTAACAGTAAATAGGGATAAATGAGTTGTGTAGGAATAAAAAAGTTGTGTAGGGATAAAGTAAAAGTGGTCATACTAGATTGACAATACTTACTTGATTTCCATCCCTGTATTTTACTTTGAACTCCAGTAATATCTGCTTTAGCATCTTCCATAACTTTCTTTGCCTTATCTAATGTAGCTTGAGCTTTTCTTTTTGCTTCTTCTATATATTCAATGGCAGCTTTTTGTATTTCTTCTATTACGCTTGTAGAAACACACCCATTAAACTAAAGCATTTTTAAATTTATGATGAAATTATTAAAGATGGTGAGTACATATATAACTCAAAGATTTTATTAAGATTTTGTACTTAATGAGTATGAAAATATTTAATGAGTATGAAAATAAAATAAACACTTAATGAGTATGAAAATATTAAGAAAAAAAAGTTCAAACTTATTGTTTCAATTATTTCAATTAAAATAAATAAACATAATTAAGAGAGTAATTAAAATAAATAAGAAAGATAAAGTTTTTATTTTTACATTATATTTTTACATTTTACAAGAGTTTACATTTTTTAAAGTTATATTTTGTTTACAAAAACATAATTAAGAAAGTAATTAAGTAAATTGTTTAACAAAATTAAATTAAAACAGAATTGCAAAAAAGTTTTTGAAAAGTCCCTAAAGAATACTTCATTCCACCATAGAAATTGTAGTAAAAAAAACTTTTATAGATTATTTAAACTGTCATATAATTTAAAAAGATCTAATTTTGTTCTCTTCTCCTTTCTGGGGAGCTGGTCTCTGTAATCGAGCTTTAAAATTCCATTATTGAGGATTTTTACTGATAATTGCATTCAACTAAAATTTTTTTTAGTTGTTTAAGTTTCATTTTCAATTTTTTTGGATTAGACACAAAACAAATAATCAATTTAGCTATATTTTAATTTGTATGTTGATGGCTATTGTAATTAAGATAATCATGGGAATTTCTAGGTTTATAAAAAATATCTGTTTCAACAATGTTGCTATCATGTAGAGTAACTGTTATGTCTAAAAAGTTTAAAAGTTGGTACCATGTGATTTCCGTTCTTCTATATATTTAATATCGAGGTGTAATGAATTAATTATAGTATTATAGTAATGAATTAAGACATTTTAACAGCAAATTAGCATTAATTGATTTTAGTAAAGCAACAAAACCATCATCCATATTTCTTTTAAAATTGTTTAGAATATTTTTGCATTTAATTGTATTGAAAATATATGGTATAAGGAAAATAATTTGAATATATATGGTAAAACATTAGGAAAATAATTTCACAACTTTAAGTAAACAAGCAGTAGGTGGAGCCATTTTTGTTCCCATAGCTGTTCTAGTTAATTGATTGAAAAACTCATTATTGAAATAGAATAATGGAGTTGGCAAACCGTGAGCCACAAGTTGTCATTCCCTGCTAAAAGGCATCACATTTCTTTTTTGTAATGTTATATTTTACTTTCATTTCACCAGGAACTATTAGGTTATCTATTTGTTGTACAGACTTAAACTAAAACAACTAAAATAATTTTTAGCTTGCAATTACCAGTAGGGATGTACCGAAACTTTGGCTTCCGCATGCCGAAGCTTCGACACTTTTGCAGAAGCCAGGGTCAGTTTTTGCAGAAGCATCGGCTTCGGCGAGTTTTATTTAGGTAATTAAAGGAAATAAGCTACTGTTATATTTAAACATAAAATAATTTTTATATTAAACATAAAATAATTTTATTGTTTGCAATATAATTACTTTACATTACAATTCTATTACTTGTAATTTGCTCCTTTACTTTGATTCCTTGACGTATGCCGCATCATACATAGTATAAATTGCGACACGCTGCAAACTTTATTGTTAATTTTTTTTGTTTGCCTGCTTATCAAAATTAATGGGTGATTTTTATATTTAATTTAAGTTCTATGTATAATTTTATTCCGTTGTTGTATTTACTGAATGATATTTTCATTATAATTTATATTTAGTTTTTTTGCGCTTCAAACGTACGCTAGAAAATTTATTTCTTATCACCACTCAAAAACATGAATAACTCATGGTTTTATAATTACAGAAGCAGATAACCTACAGAAAATCAATGGCAGCATGCTGAAATAATTGTATGCATACTAAAACAATTTAAAAACGCTATGAAAGGTAAGATTGCAGACACATCAGAGATCATACTGTTTAGTGTTGTGACTAAAACTAAAAATTGTAATTAACTAAACTAAAAAAACTGTAAATATAATTAGTCGACTAACGTTTTAGTTAACTAAAATTACCTGACTAATTCTTTCGCTAACTTAAATTAGTCGACTAACTTTTTGGTTAACTAAAATTAGTCGACTATTTTTTTAGTTAACTAAAATTACCCAACTAACTTTTTAGTTAACTAAAACTATCCGACTAACTTTCTAGTTAACTAAAATTACCTGACTAACTTTTTAGCTAACTAAAATTACCCAAATAACTTTTTAATCTAACTAAAATTACTCGAATAACTTTTTAGTTAACTAAAATTAACCAACTAATTTTTAGTTACCTAAATATACCCAACTTTGTTTTTAGTGTAACTAAAGAAATTTATAAATATATAAAATCAACAATTTGGGTTCATGATATCATTTCTACTAGAATTTTTGAATAAGTTTGCTAATGTATAATCATTTTACTGCATAATACTGCAAAAATAAAAAAATATCAAAATAATTTTCTTTTAAGTTTTAATGCCAAAGATTTAATGAGATACTTCAAGAAAATATTTCATAAAAATCTAAAAAGTAAACATTGTAAAACATGTTTTACAATTCTAAAAGATATTTGTGTCAATTCTAAAGATATTTGTGTACACAATTAAATAAGCTACCAAGGCCAGCACAAAGGGGTGAGGGTATGGGGTGGTTGATTTTGTGTGTGACATCCTATCAATGAACTTTTAGCTCATTTAGGAAGCCAATTTGACTCTTTTAGAAAAGTAAGTTGGCAAATGTAGATTTTCAGAATAGTCACTTGGTTAATTTAAAAAAACAAGGATTTTTTTTTCTTTTTTCTAGTCAGCTAAAATTTTAACATCGCTCTCTAGGTGTTACCTACTTTTGCCGGCTCTGTAAGCTACAATATATTACAATAATTCGTTTTTACTATGTGCCACTTTTTTAGGTCCAAATTATAAAATTTTTCAATTCTTTGAAAGAATTTAAAGAGAAAAAAAAAAAAAACTTAAAATGCGTTAGATAATTTTTGTCGGAAATTCATTTGACAAAAAAAGTTTGTGATATAACTCCAGTTAAATAGGTGACAATCAAATCAAAAAAATTTAAGTTATCATTTGATGATGAAGATGATCATTCCGGAAATGACAGTGACAAAATAATGTTTTTATACTTTTGGCATCAAAATCAACATGTGTTTCCAATATTGTATTGTATTTGATTTTGACAATGATTTTATGTACGCTTGTTACCAGTGCGCCAAGTGAAGGCCTTTTCTATGACACATTAAACACTTAGTATGCAAAGCGAAACAGAATGACAACTGAATGTTTTCAAATGTTGATGTTTTTGTACAAAAATTTGAAATTTTTTAATTTAGTTTAAATTCATTAAATTTAATACTGAAGTTTTTTCTTCTAATAAATGTTTTAATACATTTCATTGTTCT